ACATGAACAGACACTTTACAAAAGAAGACATACATGAGGCCAACAAACATATGAAAAAATGCTCATCATCACTGGTCATCAGAGAAATGCAAATCAAAACTACATTGAGATACTACCTCACGCCAGTTAGAATGGCGATAATTAAAAAACCTGGAGACAGATACTGGAGAGGCTGTGGAGAAATAGGAACACTTTTACACTGTTGGTGGGATTGTAAATTAGTTCAACCATTGCAGGAAGACAGTGTGGTGATTCCTCACTGGACCTAGACATGGAAATTCCATTTGACCCAGCAATCCCATTACTGGGTATATATCCAAAGGATTATAAATCGTTCTACTATAAGGACACGTGCACACGAATGTTCACTGCAGTACTGTTTACAATAGCAAAGACCTGGAACCAACCCAAATGCCCATCGATGATAGACAGGACAGGGAAAAAGTGGCACATATACACCATTGAATACTATGCAGCCATAAAAAATGATGAGTTTGTGTCCTTTGTAGGGACATGGATGAACCTGGAAACCACCATTCTCAGCAAACTGACACGAGAACAGAAAATCAAACACTGCATGTTCTCACTCATAGGTGGGTGTTGAACAATGAGAACACATGGACAGAGGGAGGGGAGCAACACACATTGGGATCTGTAGGGGGAAATAGGGGAGGCACAGCAGGGGGTGGGGCGTTGGGGAGAGATAGCATGGGGAGAAATGCCAGATATAGGTGATGGGGAGGAAGGCAGCAAACCACACTGCCACGTGTGTACCTATGCAACAATCTTGCATGTTCTTCACATGTACCCCAAAACCTAAAATGCAATAAAAAAAATAGTAAGGATTATCATATAAGGTATAATTTAAACATGATTTTAGTTTGGTTTTGTCACTCATGATACCACGCACGGCAGGAAAGAATGAATAGTAAAGAGGCAAACACGAGAGAGTTCTGGAAAGGGGCAGTTAGAGCAAGAGGGTAAGGATAACTAGCATGAACAGCTCCTATGTAGTGAGCACTTTACACACACTACCTCATTGCATCAACCAAAAACTCCAACCAAAAACTCCAGGAAGTAAACACTTGTACTGTCTCCGCTGTATTATTTTTTTTTGAGATAGAGTTTCACTCTTGTCACCCAGGCAGGAGTGCAATGGCAGGATCTTGGCTCACTGCGACCTCCGGCTCCTGGATTCAAGCAATTCTCCTGCCTCAGCTTCCCGGCTAGCTGGGATTACAGACGCCCACCACCACACCTGGCTAATTTTTGTATTTTTGGTAGAGACGGGATTTTGCCTTGTTGGTTAGGCTGGTGTTGAACTCCTAGACCTCAGGTGGTCTGCTTACCTTGGCCTCCCAAAGTGCTGGGATTACAGGCGTGAGCCACTGCTTGCGGCCCTATTGTCTCCATATTAATCAATTAATTAATTAATTTTTATTCAGGCCGGGCACGGTGGCTCAAGCCTGTAATCCCAGCACTTTGGGAGGCCGAGGCGGGTGGATCACGAGGTCAAGAGATCGAGACCATCCTGGTCAACATGGTGAAACCCCGTCTCTACTAAAAATACAAAAAATTAGCTGGGCATGGTGGCACGTGCCTGTAATCCCAGCTACTCAGGAGGCTGAGGCAGGAGAATTGCCTGAACCCAGGAGGCGGAGGTTGCGGTGAGCCAAGATCGGGCCATTGCACTCCAGCCTGGGTAACAGGAGCGAAACTCCGTCTCAAAAAAAAAAAAAAAAATTTTTATTCAGTCTCCATAGAGATTGTCAAAAATTGCCAATGCCGACTATATTGCAAGTTGTCATGGCGGGGTATTGGGAAAAGTTTTCAGTTAATGATAATGGTGCCTTGGATAAACCTCACTGGCTACAATACTGCCACTGCACAAAGCTTATTGTCTCGATTTTAAAGTCAAGCAACCGCTTGAGACAAACTCCCTAACTTGCTTAAGATCACGTAACAGAGGAGTGACACAGACAGATTTAAATCCAGATGGCCTGAACTCCTGTTACCAGAGCTTCCTGAGATATACATGTAAAGAACACAGTTACTGGCACATGGGAAATATGTAATAAGTCACAGCTATTGTAACTAAAGGGAGAAATAATTCAGAGAGGATTTTAGATAAGCAGTGGACATATGGCAAACAGGTGATTCAAGAAAACACATGGGAGAAAAAGGAAGAATATGACCAGTTTTCCCTTAAAGGTATTCCAGCATTTTATTGCTAAACAGGCAGTCTCCAGGCAAACAGCAGATGTTGAAGGGACTAAGGTACAGATGTTAGAAGTCCCATCACACCTCTACAGTCCCTGAAAATATCAAGCAGATCCTTGCCGCACCCTCGCTCGGTGAACTGATCACTGAATGTGCCCAAAGCTGTCCCTTACTGACCCCACTTGGGGATGCTGTGTTTGATATGATTAAGTTTCTAACAGCGAATGTCCTTCCTGCCTCCCGTTTCTGTGTAGACGGTAAGATCCAGTCCCTGTTCTCCTGAAATAAGCCCTGAATTCCATTTCCTCATTTTGTGATCCCTGATACTTACAGGTGGACTAAATAAAAAGCTGACTGGAGCAAAGGGATTCCATCTGGGATGCTTACCTGCTCCAGTCTTTCAATGAGCTCTGCAGGAGTTAGGACCACCTCTTCACTACCCCCATCAGAGTCCTGCCCCAGGAAATCTGGTTCTTCTGTCATCTTCTCTGAGACCAGGAACCTGATGAGAAGGAAAGAACCAATACTCTGCAATGCGTTTTCCATTTATTTGCAAGAACAGACATCTACTTGGAGAAGGTAAAGGTTTATTGCGGTTTCCTGGGGTTGTAGAGGCCCATTAGCAAGTGGCAAGAGAACGCAGGGACTCTAGTTTTCCAGTGTCTGCCTCTTCCTCCAAGGCTTCGGTCAGGTATCGGTTTCTCAAACGGGCCTCCCCTTTATAACTGTCCGCCAGGAGCTGAGTACCCATCACATCATACAATCACTATTCATTTCTTTGACTTCCTGGTAAAGGTCTTGTTTCTTAAGAGTCGGGGTTCGTTTTAGTGCCTGGCACTAAGCACTGGGGACGCAATGACCTGGGGGGGGAGCCCCAGCGCTCAGCAGTGTTTGACCCCTATCAAGCACTTAACATCGTTGGGAGCTGGCCGGCTCACGCCTGTAATCCCAACACTTTGGGAGGCCGAGGCAGGAAGTTACCTTGAGCCCAGGAGTTCGAGACCAGCTTGGGCAACATAGGGAGTTCCTGTCTCTATAAAAATAAAAATTGTTAGGAGGATTAATCAATGCTAATTTCCCAGAGCCACAGGGCCCGGCGACACAGACCAGTCGGTGACCCCAAAGGCCTAAGGAGGTGGGTGGCGGGGACGAGGAAAGTCCCTGGGGTCGCAGGGAAACTGCAAGCATCCCCCTCCCCTCCTCCCTCTCCGTGCCACCCACACAGGCCCACCCTCGCCACAAAGAGGTCTCACTCGACGACCTGCGAGACAGCGAGGCACTCCAGAGCAGCAGGCGGTAAGGACGGGGAGTTCGTGGGGACGCAGTCGGGGCACCTGGAAGCGGGAAGACAGCGGCGCGAACTGCTCAAGGCCTGCCCGGGACCAACCGGACTTTTCAGCTCCCGCGCTGCTCTCGGAAACTCTCCGCCCATGCAGCACGTCACCGCGCATGGGCGACGCTGACCAATCACGGCGCGGGGGGAAGAACGGGGCTGTGTCATTGGCCCGCCCACTTGAGGGGCGGGGACTGTCTTCGCAACTGCCCGTGGTCCCAGAAACCCCCGGAAAAGAGGCGGTGGGAGGCTGGTCCCGCCCGACTGGGCCGGCCGCTCGGGTGTGTGGTTCTGGCTGCACTACCCAGGACCGTCGGGAGGGGGCGCCCCGCCACCGCGGCTGAGAGGAGCAGCGGTGTCCGTCCCGGGGCCAGCAGGGTGCCAGCGCCCGGGTACTGAATTCCTGGGGCGCTGGCGGGTCCCACCCAGAAGTGCGCTGTTGGAAGCAGGCCGCTGCAACCTCCTGGGTCGTCTCCATCCACAGCTCCCGTGGCTCTTTGGGTTCCTTCGTCTTTGCAGGGTTTCAGCTGAGCTCACTATGGTAATTGCCTTCAGAATCTCTTTTTTCCTTTCTTGAGACATGGTCTCTCTCTGGTACCCAGGCTGGAGTGCAGTGGTATGAGCACAGCTCACTGCAACGTCCGCCTCCCGGGCTCTAAGCGATCCTCCCACCTCTGCCTCTCCAGTACCTGGGACCACAGGCCAGCGCCACCACGCCCAGCTATTTTTATTTTTATTTTTTTAAATAGAGCCGTGGGCAGGAAGAGCGTGGAGTGTTTTCCCTATGTTGGCCAGGCTGGTCTCGAACTCCAGGACTCAATCGGTCCTCCCACCTTGGCCTCACAAAGTGGCTAGTGGTTCTTGAAGCCTGGGATCGGACGACCAGCAGCAGCATCTCCTGGGACTCCGCGAAAATGCAGATTCTTAGGCCCCACCCAGACCCACTGAATCAGAAACTCAGGGGGTGTTTCTGGTCATCTCCCGGTGACCCTGACGCAGGTGAGGTTTGAGAATCACTGCTTTGGGGCAATGCTTCCAACTCAGCTTCTGGAGGGGAAAAGCAAAAAAAACCCCATGTTTGTATATGTATATATTTTTTCCATCTTTGTGTGAGTCAGTTTTTCTTCTCTGAATTGCTGATTCTTTTCTCTTTGCTGCCCTGTGTTTTCTGTGCAAAGCATTGCTTCTGACTTCCCTAAAAGTGTCTCTTCTCCATCAATCTGAAGGCTCTTTGTGAAGCTGCTCTATGACGTCATATTGATTGACTAGTAAAATGATTGGCTAATATAGGAAGATTGTATCTGTCTGATTACAATCCTATTACAAAAATGAGAATAGAATAAGCTGAGTGAGAGAGTGGGCATGTTTACAAAGGGCTGTATAAGCTGGGGGCATATCAGTGTGGGACTCCCAAAAGGAAGGGACATTTGAGCTGTGTCTTACAAAATGAAATTTGTGAGTGGCAAATAGGTGGTCATTTTGAGGTCTGTTTCAACGCTGTGTTTCAATGGTTTGGTAATCCAGTGGTTTTTGGTTGTGGCAGAGTATGTTTCCCAAACATAGCTGCTCTGATATGGATCTCATCCCACATACTGTTCTTACCATGTGACATTGACACTCCTCCGTCAAGAGGTAGGGTCTGTGTTCTCACCTTTTTATTTATTTATTTATTTAGAGGCAGGGTCTCACTCTGTTGCCCAGGCTGCAGTGCAGTGGTGTGGTCTCGGCTTACTGCAGCCTTGCCCTCCCTGGGCTCAGGTGATCCTCCCACCTCAGCCCTCATGAGTAGCTGGGACTACAGGTGTGCACCACCATGTCGGCTAATTTTTTGTATTTTTGGTAGAGATGAGGTTTTATCTTGTCGCTCAGGCTGGTCTTGAACTCAGGCTCAAGTGATCCACCCACCTTGGCCTCCCAAAGTGCTGGGATTACAGGCATGAGCCACTGCACCTGGCCCTGTTCTTGCCTTTTAAATCAGGAAAGACCTTTTTTACTGCTCTGACCAAGAGAATTTGGCAGAAGTGATATGGCCTGGCTTCTGGGACTAAGTCATAAAAGGCAATTCGGCCCCCACTTCGCTCTCCTTTCTGGAGCCCTATCCCTTGGGAGCTGTGGGCTGACATGGAAGAAGTCTGGCTAGCCTGCAGTTGCTGTACGAGAGAGTTCATGTGAAGATGCCAGGCAGAGATGGGGAGCTATACCGGAGGAACGGCAGCACCCCAGCTGTCCCATCCTCCAGATGCTGGGTTGAGGGAGCCTTCAGGTGATTCTAGCTCTGAGGCTTCAAACTGTCCCAGCTAAGATGGAAGGGAGCAGAGATGAACTTCCCTGCTGAGCCCTGCCAAATGGCAGACTTGTGAGCAAAATAAATATTGTTGTACTTTTAAGCCCCTATGTTTTGGAGTGGTTTGTTATGTAGCATTACATGACTGGAACAGCGGTCTTTGAGCACAATCCCGTTCCTCCATAATTCTCAGCACCAAATAGCTTTTCAGTGATGTTTATTAATACTCCTTGAGTGTTACAGATTTGAGTCCAAGCACAGATAACTTCTCTACACAAGTGCCGATTATGTAGTTTATTGATTTAAAGACTTCCCTTCTCTGGGACCAACCACCTTCTCCAGTCTCCCCCATTTCTTCATTGATTGGGGAGCTGGAGTCCAGCTTCTGCTTCATTGCTTAATAGTGATGTGACTTTAAACAAGTCACTTATCTGTACTTCAGTTTTTTTTTTTTTTTTTTTTTTTTTTTTTTTTTCTTTTTTTTTTTTTTTTTTTTTTTTTTTTTGAGACAGAGTTTTGCTCTTGTTGCCAGGCTGGAGTGCAGTGGCATGATCTCAGCTCACTGCAACTTCCACCTCCTGGGTTCAAGCAATTCTTGTGCCTCAGCCTCCTGAGCAGCTGGGATTACAGGCATGTGCCACCACACCCCGCTGATTTTTATATTTTTAGTAGAGATGGGGTTTTTACTATGTTGGTTAGGCTGGTCTCGATCTCCTGACCTCATGATCTACCCTCCTTGGTCTCCCAAAGTGCTTTAAGGAAGGCAGAAAAGTGCTCTTAGAGTGTTTTCTCTTAGCCTCATAAGGAAAGCTATTGGCTGGTGAACTTATAAGGATTTTTCTGGCCACTGATAACACCCAATACCTGCTGTATGGCCAGGATGCTGGAGAACTCAGGAAGCCAGGGCAAGGCTTGGGTTTCCCTTACAAATGTAAAATCTGGGCAATTGGTGATATTCCTAATTCCTTTGCTCTCCTCAAATCCTAGCTCCTCTGAAACTCTGTAAGGAGTTATAAGAACTATCTGTCCCTTTGCTTATTGCAGAATATACAATAATCATTAAATTTTAAAAAATTAAATCCATCATTTGAAACACTGGCCAACATAGCATTTAGCAAATTGAAGATTATTTTCCTAATGGTTTTCTGAATATGTCAAGCCAAGAGAAAGGTGACCTTTCCATAAAGAAATTCATGTGCCTTTACATCATGGGCATCTTTGATGAGATGCATATGTGCCTAAGTGCTGGGCAAGTCTGCAGATTTATTATAGTCCATAGAGTTTACTTGAGAGACCTTCAGAGGCTCATCCTAAGGTCTAAATAAAAGCCAGGCCAAACTCAATCTCTCTCTCTGTCTCTCTCTCTCTCTCTCTCTCTCTGGCTGGAGTGCAGTGGCACAATCATGGCTCACTGTAGCCTTAATTTCCTGGGCTCAAGCAATCTTTCCACCTCAGCCTCCCAAGTAGCTGGGGCCACAGGAGTGCGCCACCATGTCGGGCTAATTTTTAAAAATTTTTTGTGGAGACGGGGTCTCACTTTGTTGTTCAGGCAGGTCTTGAAGTCTCCTGGCCTCAAGTGATCCTCCTGCATGAGCCTCCTAAGTGTTTGGGATTACAGACACGAACCACTGCACCTGGCCCAAACTCAGTATTTCTAAATGCTTGCAGCTTAGGGCAATGTGTAGTTGCTCTTTTTTCCTATAGTGATAGGAAAAGGTCTGATTATAGTCAAAGTAAAGGCTAAAGGGTAGCCTTGCTCAAGAACATGCGCTGTATCAAACTTTCACTATTGTCTTTAATTTTAATGTCTTTCTTTTTGTGTGTGTTCATGAATCATAGACATGGGCACCATTTTGAGAATATTTAAAAAATTTCTTAAAGTTTTATTTATTTATTTATTTTTGAGCTAAGTTCTCGCTGTCACCCAGGCTGGAGTGCAGTGGCATGATCTTGGCTCACTGCAGCCTCCACCTCTTTGGTTCAAGCGTTTCTTATGCCTCAGCCTCCCAAATAGCTGGGATTACAGGTGCCTGCCATCATGCCTGGCTAATTTTTGTATTTTTAGTAGAGACAGGGCTTTGCCATGTTGGCCAGCTGGTCTTGAACTCCTGACCTCAAGTGATCTGCCCCCATCAGCCCCCAAAAGTGCTGGGATTACAGGAATGAGCCATAGTGCCCAGCTTTTTGAGAACTTTAGAATATATACATTTTTTAATTACCATGGATGATTCCTTTATTTTTTTTTTTTTTTGACCTCTGAACGTGGTGGTACATGCCTGTAATCCCAGCTACTTAGGAGGATGAGGCACGAGAATTGCTTCAACCTGGGAGGCAGAGGTTGCAGTGAGCTGAGATTGCACCACTGCACTCCAGCCTGGGCAACAGAGGAGTCTCAAAAAAATAAAATAAAATTATTCCTAAGTTCTAAGCTTTTTAATTAGTGTTACAAAGATGGAATTATAATTATAATTGTTGTCATCATTTTCCTTCTACATGTAGTGTCTATGAATTATACACCTCTTAAGATGTCAATATTTGAACTCATAAGGAGTAAGAGGCCTAGGCTGGGTGTGGTGGCTCACGCTTGTAATCCCAGAACTTTGGGAGGCTGAGATGGGCTGATCGCCTGAAGTCAGGAGTTTGAGACCAGCCTGGCCTACATGGTGAAACCCCATCTCTACTGAAAATACAAAAATTAGACAGGTATGGTGGCTGGCATCTGTAATCTCAGCTACTCAGGAGGCTGAGGCAGGAGAATCCCTTGAATCTGGGAGTCGGAGGGTGCAGTGAGCCAAGATGGTGCCATTGCGCTCCAGTATGGGCAGC